GGAAGAAATTTAATAAACAAGTTTAAAGTTAGAAGGTACTAGAATTATCTGTTTTATTTAAAGATGTTGATGACAAAAATAAAAAGTTAAGGGATTGTGATGGAGAGTCAATAGGAATTTTTCACATGATCCAATAAGCTTTTTTTTTAGTTTTACTCATTTATACTTAATTAACATATCAATGTTTTTTTCCCATAAAGTCAACATTAGGGATTAGATAATTTTTGTTTTAATTTATATTTGCCTTAAAGGATCAGATATGTTCAACTGAAAGCATATCTTATTATTAGAAACCTAAACTTGGGCCATAAGATGCTCTGATATCTGAATAATCATAGAAAATCTCAGATAATTATCTGAATGGCTGTGGAAGAATGGCATATGTGTATGTAAAAGCAGCTGACATGACTCTCCCATTGATATTTTTCTCCTTTTTTATCCATGTTTAATACAATGTAGATTATTATTTGATGACTTTTACAAGAGACAAAAAATTATAGCTCCATTCATTTTCACCTTGCCCTCGTGTGTAAGGGTGACTCATTGTGTCTTTCCTTTGTAGCCAGTTCCTGAAGAACTACAGAATGGTGAAGGATTTGGGTATGTTGTTGCTTTCCGCCCTCTTGGGGTTACCAACTGGATCCAGACAGTGGTGACATCCCCTGACACCCCAAGATATGTCTTTAGGAATGAAAGCATCGTGCCATTTTCACCATATGAAGTTAAAGTGGGTGTTTATAATAACAAAGGTGAAGGACCATTTAGCCCAGTGACAACAGTGTTCTCTGCAGAAGAAGGTATGGAAAACATGATTGTGTATCAGTTCCAAGCTAACAAACGAGCTGATCTCCAAAAACTGATTTGCAAGTTTTTTGCAACTTCAGATATATTTTCTCAAAAGAATGATTAAAGTCATAGTTAGATTCCTAGTGCATGTCATAAAGATCAACTATAACTAACTTGAAGTACAAGACTCAATGAATAGTTAGAAGATGAAACATTCAGTTAAAAAACTGTTTATGAGGAATGCATCCTGTGTTCCAGCTTGGGAAACAGGGAAAGGCATAGCCTTCCACAGCTCTTTCTTCTTCTTTGGGTAAGAATGAGATAATCCCTTGGAGCTACCCTTGTCCTGAGTTTTATAGTGGTTCCTATGCTCTGAGAAAAGGACATTAGCAGGATGGAGAGTTAGGACCAGATGTATGATATTCAAGAGGTGTGGAAGGTGCAGGTTTAAAGGATATGAGTTCCCGCCAGTGTAGATACATACACATTTCAAATATCAGAAACAGATTCAGCCTGCCTAAAAAAAAGTAAAGGCTTTATTGGAAATACACTGGGACATCTTACTGAATCAAAGGAAGGGCTAAACAGCAAACCTCATGAAGAACCTTAGTCAGAGAAGCTCTGGGGCCTCAGGAAATGGGCTGCTTCCTCTAGAGCACCAGGGCTGGATCAATTGGCCCCAAGTCCTCCTCATCTCTTCAAACCAAGTTTCAAATTCTCAGGAGACAAAATCTAATAGGCCCTTTCTCAGACCAGGAATCTGTCTCAGCATCAATGAGCCATGGCCAGGGAGCAGGATCATTTAACACAGAAATGGATATTGGGGGAGGGCAGATTTCTGCTCAGAGATGTGCCCTGAGAGGGGAGA